TCACCCACTCTGTTTCCCCCCTCTGTTTCTCTGCCCTTCTTCCTTCTCAACTATCCTTCCTCCCATTCACTCTCTGTCTTTCTACCCATCTACCTTCCTTCCTTCCTTCCTTCCTTCCTTCTTTCCTTCCTTCCTAGCTTTCTCCCTTCCTTTCTTTCCAAAATAATACCATTAACCCCACTCTGCCTCCCCCCCGTTTCTCTCTTTCCCCCCTATCTAACTCTCTCTCTCTCTCTCTACCTCCTCTTCTCCATTCCTGCCTTCCACTCGCCCTTCCTTCCTATCTAGGGCCCGGGAGAGATTAGGAAGTTCACCTAATGCTATTGCAGAGAGGTTTTGAGGGTGGTGCCTGGGGAGGGTGGAAGTTGTGGCAGATATGATGTCACTGATGGTGATGCTCTAGGAATTTCTCCTAAACTCTGTGGTAAAGAACATAGAGGCATGGTGGAAAATTCCTAGAGCGTCATTATGGTGGCCATTTTTTTTCTCCTGCTCCTTAATTTCTTGAGAGTGAGAGACTGGGGCTGAGGGCAGGAGTATATCCACCACAGGTAGGTATGTAGCAAGCCTGGCAGGAAGCTGTTGAACAGCCTGGCCCTATAATGCAACCATCATGAAGCACCTTGAGATGCATCTTTATCCTTAAAAACATGTTGGGATTGCTCCCTGTACCCTTGCCCCCCCCCAAACTAAAACCCTTCTATTGACCCTTTTCGCCCTCCTGTGCCTTTGTTCCTCTTTAGAACAGGAGGAGGTTGAACTCCCCAGCAACAACTTGAACCCCTGCAGCAGTCACGACAAAAAATGCCTCCAGAAGCAGCAAGCCAAACTACGCGACAGGATCAACCTTGGGGTCAAGATGAGGAGCACTGGCATCCTACCTGCCCGGGAGGATACCCGGCCAGTGGTGAGGTGTTCTGCTTTCTTCTCTTCAGGGGAGGTGGAGCCATAAATCACATCTGAGCAGATTAGCCTCTTTGCCGATCCTTGAACCTATTTCTCACCGCAGAGCTAAGTAAAGGCAGTATCTCCACCCTGCTGGAAATGGAATCACCTGACCAACTTCAATTACTACTAGCCATTTAACTCTGAGAGCTTTGAGTGAGGCCATCAAATGCTCCAGTGTAACATGTAAATGCGAGCTTAGGCGTTTTGGGGAAATGTGCAAGAAGCTGCTAAAGGCTTGCACAAAGAAAACAGTTCTTTAACCAGAACAATCCACTGGCTGTTTGTATTTATACCGTAAGCTGAAGAGGTCTGCTGTAGCTGTTTTACAATGTTCCTTATCATAGACCTTAACTCTTCGACTTTTAGCCACAGAGCAGCTTCATTTGGTTTGGATCAGGCCAGCTCTGCTGGTGATCTGCCCCCCCCCCAAAAGAGCCCACAAGTAGAGCTACCTTTCCCCCAGGCAGGGACAAGGACCCCCCCACCTTCAGCTTTTGTTGCCCGCCGCCGCTTTGAGCAGCAGGAGAACATTTTTTAAAATGGCATCATCATGTGCTCCACTGCTTCACTTCTGGTGAAAAAGTAGACGTGATCTAGAGTAAATTTAGGAACCACCAGAAAGTATGGTAAAACCACAGAGTTTCTCGCAATTCCTAGAGCTACTGTACATCACTTCCAGGTTTTCACCAGATGTGAAAACACAGAACATTGCACGCCCTCCATACCCCTGCCCCTGAACCTCCCTCTGGTTGCCAGGCAACCCTACCCACAAGCCATGTTGTATCACAGCCTACCCTTTGCCCCTCCCCCATTCTAAGATGGCAGAGCGACTTGAGATTAATTGAGCCCTGGAGTGATTACAATTCATATGCAGTGGGATGTCTCTGGAAAAAGAGTTTACCATCCCTTACCCTGCTGTACTGTACAGCCCCTATCCCAAACACGCGTTATAGAATCATAGAATCATAGAGTTGGAAGGGACCTCCAGGGTCATCTAGTCCAACCTCCTGCACAATGAAGGAAATTCACAAATACCTTCCCCCCCATGCCCAGTGACCCCTATTCCATGCCCAGAAAGTGGCAAAAAATACCCTCTCCAGGATCCCCAGCCAAAGTGGCCTGGAGGAAATTTGCTTCCTGCCCCCAAAGTGGTGATCAGCATTTCCATGGGCATGTAAGAAAGGGCCATAAGAATGAAGCACTGATGCTTACTAAAATAAACATTTTAAAGTGCCAGGAGATGCATCACATGTTTTGATCTTGACTGGATTCGTCACCCATTCCTTTTCATGAAATTCTGCATCCTTAAACAAAGGACACAATGATCATGACATTTATTTTAACATGATTATCTTAATTATGAGGAGACCATGTGGTATAAACGTTAGCCAGAAGCAGAGGGGGTGAAGTGGTGTGTGTGTGTGTGTGGGGGGGTGAGTTGTCCAGCAGCAGTGGGCCCTGTTGGAAGCAGTGGGGCTTTTGGGGGCTCCAACCCTTTTCTTAAAGGCATAGCCCCACAAGAATTTCTCCTGTAAATGCTTTCCCCAAAAACATTTAAAAACATTTTCAAAAGGCATGCACTCCTTTAAGCAGAGTGGGGTGCTGTGGTTGACTAATTCCCACACTGATCAAGGGGGTTGGAGTAGGTGACCTCTAGGATACCTTCTAACTCTGTGTCAAGAAACTGGTCTCCTTTAGGAGAGTTTTTCTGCCTAAGTGTTAGCTTTCTTGACTGTAGAAGTCCTCACCCCCACCTGCTGGCTTGTTATCAGAATTGTTGCTTAGGCTGGCAGAAGTGATTAACTTGCAGCAGCTGAGAACTGTTGTCTAAAGTGGTTGACAACTTGCAATTTAGAGATCTATCCTGGTAACAGCTTTCTATTGGCTAAATGCCTTTTCTTTCTGCCCTGAGAACTTCAGCCCCACCAGAAGAAAAATTGCCTCGCAAGCCACAAAATCCTGGCTATGGGCCTACCTGGGTCCCAACAGTGGCCCCACTTCAGGGTATGGTGATGCTCACTCTGCCTGGAGTTTGAGACAGAAGGGGCCAGGCCAGTGGAAAAATGCCTTTTTCTTTCATCCTCCACTTTGTCAGGGAAGAACTGTTTAGAACTCTTTTGTCCGAGGGGCCAAGCTCCCATGCTCCAACAGAAACTGTGGTGGATGAAGAACAAAATATATATACTGATTTCCATGCCTCCCACACATCCCATCCCAGAGAGGGAGAGGCAGAGGTCCAATGTCAAAAACCATGGAAACAAACATCCTGGACATGCGAGGAGAGCCACGGGGAAGAGCAAATGTGTGAAGTGATTCTTCCCTCTTCTTTTGGACTTAGGTCCACGGAGCATGTCAGAGTGAGCTTCACAGAGCACTGGAGAGATTAGCAGCTTCACAAACCCGGACCCATGAAGATCTGTATATCATCCCGAACTGTGACCGCAATGGGAACTTCCACCCCAAACAGGTAACACCCAGGAAGGGTGGTAGGGGTGCCATCCTCCAGGTGGGGTCTGGACATCTCCCACAATTGCACCTGATCTCCAGGCTGCAGAGATCAGTTCTCCTGGAGAAAATGGCTGCTTTGGAGGGTGGACTCTGTGGCACTGTACCCCACTGAGGTCCCTGTCCTCCCCAGGCTCCACCCCCAAATCTCCAGCAATCTCCCAACACAGAGTTGGCAGCCCTAAGGGCTACCTCGGTCTTGCATAGTCAACTTTTTAAAAGGTTAAACCAACAGTGTATTATACATTTTCAAAGGCAGAGCATGTACTTAGGATCTCCCACCAGGACCAAAGCACACGTGATGCAGGAAATCTGTGATAATTTTCACTTAAAAGCTGCTAGTTGTGTCAGGGAAGTAGCTGGAAAGACAGCATCTAAAGCCTTTCCCTTTCCACCATGGTTTCCCCCCCCCTCTGATCTAAATCATCCATCCCCCCAGGCTAGGCCAGTCTCATCAGATCTTGGAAGCTAAGCAGAGTCAGCCCTGGCTACGATTTGGATGAGAGACCACCGAGGAACACCAGGGTTGTGACACAGAGGCAGGCAATGGCAAACCACCTCTGAACCACGTCTCTCGCCTTGGAAGCCCCATAAAGGGTTGCCATAAGTCAGCTGTGACTTGAGGGCACTTTCCACCATCACGACTGAAACTTCTATTAATCCTGCAGGGGGTGGGGGAGAGATATAGCTAATGTCAGTGATGACATAGATACATCTGTGAAGAGACATCCCTGACCATGCAAATATTGCTTAAAAACGCAAATGCTAAGGCCCACCTAGTTGAGCATTTTTCACGCATAGGGTTGCCATCCCCCCAATGGGGGTGGGTGTTCCCCCAATTTTGGGGACCCCAATGGGGGTGGATGTTCCCCCAATTTTGGCTGGCAGGGGAGCCCCACCCCCAAAGAGCCCCACCCTGCCTGACATGCCTGGTGTGATGACATCACCCAGAGGTGACATCATTGTGTCGGGCATGTCATGTGGGGGACACTCTAGCATTTGGGCAAAAACTCTATGGTAACTATAGAGGGTTTTTTTCCCAGATGCTAGAGCATCCCGCCCAACGAGCCCAGCGCGATGATGTCACCTGTGGGTGACCTCATTGTGGCACACGTGCAAAGCGCATGGACTAGAAGACTCCTGGAACAAGACTGGACCCCCCACTAGCAGCCAGGTTAGACCAAGTAACCCTGTTCATGCAGGTCCCAGAAAGAGAAAGTAGATAGTCCACTGGAAATTGCATATCACTAGCCTGTGGAACTGGGTGAATATATCATGTTTTGGAATATATGAAGACTGAGGAAGGGGAAAAGATGTTGTAAGCTGCTTTGGGTTCCCGTCGATGTTGAATCATACCAATTCCCCACCATCCCCCAGGGACAGTGTCTTTTCGTGGACTCGAGGCTTTCCCCAGCCACACTATCTGTAGCTCTTTCTAGTGGTATCAAACCAGGGACCTTGTAAATACAAAACCAAAACAAACACAGTGATTGGAAGATATGTGAGTTGATGTTTTTAGCATTTTAAGACACAGCTGTATTTGGGTCTAGTTCAGGTTGGGGCCAGAGTGCAGGAGGACAGGCTGGTTAACCTTCCCCCCCCCCCAATGTGGCTTTCCTGGATCCAACCGTTTCCCCTGCTGTTATTAACTCTGGAAAGCTTTGGTTTGACCCTAAGGCATGTGTTCTGAGCTGGGTTCCCTTCCTGACATCTTTTCCACATTTTTTTTCCTTTTTGTGTGTGTGTGTGTGCCAAAGTACAGTGTTTTCCCCTGTCAAAAGTCAAGGCAAGGCTATAATTTGATCATTAAAATTCCAAACATGAGACTGAAATCATATGTGTGCTTTAAAGTTCAGGAAGGTTGAAACGTGATTGTAAATCATCCTCTCCTGCTTGGCCCTCCATAAGTTCAGGGAGCCAACATTGGTACATTTCAAATGGCCTGCTTTTCACACATCAAAAATATGATACTCGTGAATTTAGAGCTGCTTTTCTGATTTCCACTCATATACACTGAGGTTGAAAAGCACTTTAAGGAGCACATGTGAAATTGGTTTTTAAATTTCTTTCCAGTGGGAGTTATCCATACATTAGAGGCTCTTGCATTCCACAATTGCAGAGATGCTGCAGAAAGTGGTGGCAGCTACAAGCATAGATAGCTTCAAGAGGGGATTGGAGAAACATATGGAGCAGAGGTCCATCAGTGGCTATTAGCCACAAAGTATAGATGGAACTCTCAATCTGGGACAGTGATGTTCTGTATTCTTGGTGCTTGGGGGGCAACAGTGGGAGGGCTTCTAGTGTCCTGGCCCCACTGTTGGACCTCCTGTTGGCACCTGGGTTTTGGCCACTGTGTGACACCGAGTGTTGGATTGGATGGGCCATTGGTCTGATCCAACATGGCTCATATTTATCTTCTTATGAAATGTCATTGGATGGCTTGATTCGTGAAAATCATAGGACTGGTCCCAGGTTGCTCTTTGCTGGGCAAAGGCTTTCTAAAGCAAAATATTATTTGCTTGCTTCATTTATTATTTCGCGGGGTAGGGTGGGGTATAAATTTAATAAAGAAATAAAAAATTTACAAAATTTGTATCCCATCTTACTGCCCTTACAATGACTGCCAAGGTGGCTGACAATTTAAAACATATAGGATAATATTACATTATAAAACCGTTATAAAAAAACCCTCTGAAACATACATCATTAGAACAATTTGTAAAGGAGTTTTAAAAAACAGTTAAAACACATACAAAACACAAAAACATTGGTTAGGAAGGAGGGATTATCAAGGGAATGCCAAATGAAACAAGAAAGCATTCACCCTGCTGGCAGAAGACGGCAACAGAAAGGGACCGACAAATCTCCCTGGGGAGAGAGTTCCAGAGCTTTGGGGCCACAACTGAGAAGGCCCTGTCCTGCATTGCCACCCAGGCCACTGGAAGTGGGGCCTCCAAAGTTGTCCGTAATGGTCGGGTGGGTCCGTAAGGGAATAGGCAGTCCTTGAGATATGTCGGTCTCAAACCACATAGAGCTTTAAAGGTCAAGACTGGCTTCTTGAATTATGCCTGGAAATAAATCGGAAGCCAGTGCATATGGAACAAGACTGAAGTGCTATTGTCCCTATGGCCCACTCCAGTCAACATTCTGGCAGCAGCGTTCCATAGAAGAAGAGAACAGAAGAGATTGGATTTATACCCCACCTTTCACTACCCAAAGGAGTCTCAGAGCGGCTTACAAACTCCTTTCCCTTCCCCTGTGAGGTAGGTGGGGCTGAGAGAGCTCTGACAGAAACTGCTCTTTCAAGAACAGCTGTGCCAGAACTATGGCTTGCCCAAGGTCGGTGCAAGTGGAGGAGTGGGTAATGAAACCCGGTTCTCCCAGATTAGAGTCCACACACTTAACCACTACACCAAATTACACTGTACCAACTGAAGTTTCTGAACACTTCTCAAGGGGAGCCCCATGTAGAGCGCATTACCGCAGTCAAATCTAGATGTCACCAGGGCCTGCACCACAGAGGCCAGATCTCTCCTGCCCCAGAAAAACCACAGCTGGCTGATCAGTGGAAGCTGGTAAAAGGCAGTCTTGGACACAGCTGCCACTGCATATCCAGCAGTAGGCCTGGGTCCAAGAACACCTCCAGACTGCAGACCTCTTCCTTCAAGGGGAGTGCAACCCCATCCAGAATGGGTGACACCTTGAATCCTGGGTCAGACCTTCCGCCCACCAGCAGCACTTTCATCTTGTCTGGATTAAGCTTCAGTTGATTAGCCCATTTCCACTCCAAAACTGCCTCCAGGCACTGCTTTAGGGTTTCTACAGCCTCCCTGGGATCAGCTGAAAACACGAGGCAGAGCTGAGCATTATCCGTGTATCGGTGACGGAAATCTCCAGATGGCCTCATCCAGAAATTTCATGTAAATGCTCAATAACATAGGGGACAAGATGAAACCTTGCAGGACCCCATAGGCCAAAGGGCTGAACAGCAGTTCCCCAGCACCACCTTCTAAAATCTACCCTCAAGGTAGGACTGGAAGTACCGCAGAACGGTGCCTTCCAGTTCTGGTCCAGATAGGCGATCCGGATGGATACCACGATCGATGGTATCAAAAGCCACTGAGAGATCCAAGAGAATCAACATAGTCATTTAGGCACCCCTTTTCTCCCTAGTGGAGACCCAAAGTGATTGGCAACCCTCTACCTTCCTCCATTTTATCCTCACAACAACCCTGTGAGGGAGGTTAGGCTGAGATTGTATGACTGTCCCACTTAGGTCCAATGGCAGCTTTCCATTGCATAGTGAAGATTCTAACCAGAACTTGTGACTGACCCAAGGTCACCCCAGCAGCTGCATTTGGAGGAGTGGGGAATCAAACCCAGTTCTCCCAGATTAGAGTCCACGCTCCTAACAACTACACCAAACACCCACACCCCCACACCCAAGTTTTGTTGTTGAGATTCAAGTTGAAGGGATATTTAAAAGCAAACAAACCTGAAACTTTGTTTGCTTTCAAATGGGTTTTGAGGTAATAATGTTAAACACTGATTTGACAAATGTAGCAAGCCCTCTCAACCCCTGCACCCAACAGCTCTGGCATCTTAGAATACTGGAGAGGGGAAATACACAAATGAGACTATCGTTTTTGCAAGCAAATAACAAGTGAGCAGAATTTGCTCCAGCCTGTCGAACACATGCCAGTCTTGAGTGAAGAGAGGAATAGCTGTATGTGCTCTGATCAACGTGGGCAGCCATGTTGGTCTGAAGCAACAGAACAAAGTTAGAGTCCCCTGGGCACCTTTAAGCCCAACAGAGTCTTATTCAAAGGTGTGAGTTTTCATTGTGCACGCACACTTCCTCAGACAATGAAATGGAATTACAGAATTACAGATCGTAGTTGTATATATAGACGGTGGGTTGTTAAATTAGCATGCAAAATAGTGAAGATGGTTTTTTAATAGATAAAAAAAGAATGACAAGCTTGGTTTCTGGTTATCATTTTTTTTTTTACATTATATACCGCTCTTTCCCGAAGGCTCGGAGCGGTGTACAGAGCATTGTCAATTTCACCTGACTAGGGCCACAGTACAGGGGAGGGTGGGTGCCTACCGGGCACCTGAGCAGCCGAGCTCTTCTATGTTGTTCCTTCCGTGGAGGGATCTTCGGTCTCCAGGCGGCGGTTTCTCGGTGAAGGTCTGAACTTTTTCGCAGCGACTCCTTCAGGCACGGTCCGGCTACAGCGGCTGGTCTCCGTCCTCATCTGTTTGGGTTCAACTGAGGAGAAAGACAACATAGGTAATCAGCAGTGTTCCCTCTAAGGTAAGTTAGTGTGAGCAAGCTCACAGTTTTTTAGCCTCCAGCTCACACATTTTTGTCTTAGCTCAGGAAGGAGGGCTCCAGAACAAACTGATTGATGCAGTAGCCAAATCCCCTGCTCACAACGTTTAATGCCAGTAGCTCAGAAAATAGAATAAGTATGTCAGAACCAGTGATCCCTCTAAGCTGTGGAGTCTCGTGAGCAAAAATTCTAGTTTGTGAGCTACTGGCATTAAGTCTGTGGGGAATTTCACATTACCCAGTTTCACCCGGTTTCAAGCCAGTAATGATCCGTCATGGAGTAAACTGGTATAGGGCTGCCATTTCACACATGGCTTTCCCCTTCCGGTAAAGAGCTGGATCTGAAGTGGTTTGCCATTTCAGACTGCACTGCTTCCCCCCCCGCTGTTTTTCGCCCGTGCGGGCGATCTCCGGCTTTTTTTTTTTACTGTTCGCTTTAGAGCGCTATAGCACTATAGCAGTATAACAAAACACTCCATGTATTCCAATGGGATTGATATAGTGCTATTCCATTATAGCGTTATAGCGCAATAACGCTATAAAACAAATGTTCCAAAAAAAAAAGCTGGAGATCGCCCGCGCGGGTGAAAAACGGTGGGAAAAAGCGCATTGGAACCGGGAGAGGAAACTGAGGAGTACTTGGAAGCGGTTGACAGGTAAAACGCTTCAGCCCCATTTCCTAAACGGGACAGAAGCAATTGTGTATGAAATGACAAATATATTTTGGAAGGGAACCGGTTCTCAAACGGTTCTGTCTGAAATGACAGACTAGAAACTGTTTGGGAACCGTTCCTCTTCCGGAATATATCGCCTGTCTGAAATTCCTCTGTGAGTGAGCCATTTGACTATTGCTCTGGAGCCCTCCTTCCTGAGCTAAGACAAAAATGTGTGAGCTGGAGGCTAAAAAACTGAGCTAGCTCGCACTAACTCAGCTTAGAGGGAACGCTAGTCAGAACTGGAGATTGATGTACTTTGCATGTGCTGTGGGCCAACAATGAAAGTCCTCCCTTCTCTCTTCTCCAGTGTCACCCGGCATTGGATGGGCAGCGAGGGAAATGTTGGTGTGTGGATCGGAAAACCGGGATCAAGCTGCCGGGAAGCCTGGAGCTGAAGGGAGACCTGGACTGCCACCAGCCCACAGAAGGAGCCCAAGCGTGACTTGACAGATAAGAAGTAGACATTGGGCGTTCCTTGGTGAGCTGCCGAGGAAACCGAAATGGTGCTGTTGGAAGAACAGACAAAACACCAACTGGGACATTATTACCACATGGGGGGGGTATTTTTTTGTGGGAGGGGGGGACAGTTCATGACAGCGACATCTGCCCCCTGCATTAATCCACACATGACAGCCAACCGGCACCCTTGGGCATTTAATTTGGTAGCAACGTAACAGCCAGAGTTCTTCCTTCATGATTTTGGAAACAACATTTTATTTGAGTGACCACTGATGACAGAAGCCCTAAAAACTTTTGATACAAGTACTCCAGATAGACCAGTTTTTGTTTTTTAGCACAAACCGCTGGAGAATTGTTTCTCCTTTGAGGGTTTTTGCTGAGAAACGGAAAAGAGCAACGATGGAGGGAACCTTCTCTACCGATCCTTTCCCACATCTAAGCAGGCCAAACTTGTCGATCCACCTCCTACCCCATCCCCCTGCCCAGCCTAGCACACTCGCCTTCTTTAAGGCAAGGGTGGTAGCAGCTTAAAGTGCGGGAACATGTAGCTGAAGCCTTCCATGACATGGAAGTAAAGAGCACCACCTGGTTATTTGCTGCAGAACCAACTGATATAAAGGCAGGGGCTCCGTCCCATCTGAGGCTACGTAAAGCGCGCCTCGTGAGCACACACAAATCTGGCTCACATTCACACGCCTCTAGATTAGGATGCAAAACTCCCAGACCGAGGGGTGAGACATCAGCATCTCATCCCTCCCGGTGACCAGTGACATAAAAGAAAGCCTATGCAAACAATGCGTATAATTTTCACAAACGGCAGAATGTAACTCAAGCGCTGTAGGATTATCTGTGTACGTGTGTCGGGGGGGATCTTTTGATGGGAGCAGCGAATACCTTGCCCAGTGCTAACGACAAAGACTGGCACAGTTTCAAGGCCAACTTGAGCAGACCTCCCACAACTGAAGTGTGTAGAGCACCCGGGGCCAGTTTGGCTCCCAGCCTCCAGCACAGCTGGAATCAAATACATTTGAGACCTTGAGCGGTTGCGTTGCCGAGACGCTCAAAGTGTGACCCAGGAAGACCCGGATTCCAATCACCATGAAGCTCACCGGGTGACCGTGGGTCAGTTACTCCTTCTCTCCATCTTGGGGTGACCTACCTCACGGGATAAAATGAAGGAAGGGAGAACCGTGTTATGCTGTCTTGAGGTCCCTGGGATAAATATGTGGGAGGTCATTCCCCTTGTAGTAGAAGAGAGGGTCGTTCCGGGGAAACTCCTGCACATGCTGGCTTGCTGAGCCGAAAGGAGTGCCACCTACGGCTGCCAGCTCTGTGTTGGGAAATAACTGGAGAGTCTGGGGGTGGGGCCTGGGGAAAGTGAGGTGTGGGGAGGGACCTCAGCAGGATTCAATGCCACAGAGAGCCCACCCTCCAAAGCAGCCATTTTCTCTCCAGGTCTTGGTGGTCTGGAGATCAGCTGTAGTGGTGGGAGAGTTCCAGGCACCACCTGGAGGCTGGCAGCCCCAGCGCCACACCCTTTCCCCTTTCCCACTGTGGGAGAATAAGGCTGCTCCTCAGATGAAATAGTTCCCGGTGCTCAGCGGGCCACACCCTGCTCCACAATATGGCACCCTGTCAGATATAGCTTGTCCTTTTCAAAAACGTCTGTTCAGGAAAGGAGAGGTCAGGGTGAGAACGCTGGCCAGCAGCATATGTTTCTCTTAATGAAGCCGTTCCCCTGGGAGGCAGAGTCTTCATGGTATGATCAGAAAAATCGTGTGGGCTCTGCCCTTGCTGGATTAAATCACTTCGGGCAGCAGGGTGATGGCATGCTTGAATTTTGTCCCATCTAAAAATCCTCGGTCATGTAGGGGAAAATGGCATTGGATAGAACGCTCGTCTACCCCTCTGCTTTGTAACTCAGAGTTCTCTTTGTTTTTACACGGGAGGACAGTCAGATATGCAGTCCTCACATCCCCCCCCCATTCTAAAACGGTATAGTCCATAGAGAGCATGCACAGTTCTGATGACCATGGAGCAAAATTCTAGATTATCTGAAATTCAGGTATCCCGAAACTGCTGATTGGCAGATTGCAGCATGTAAACATGACTGTCTCCACACATGTATGATCTCTTGATTATATTTCCAGCAACACGAAGTTTTTGCACTAATACAGTGGTGGGCTCAGCCGATCCTCAGCACTCAGTTATCAGCGCAGCAAATCTCTTAGCATCAGCCCACAACTTTACAGTATACCACGATCATATGTGCACAGCAATTACAGTGTATACTCAAGATTTTAAGGTGATATCTTAGCTGGCAGCTGGCGAGAGGCCGGTGGGGGGGCGGAGATTGCCAAAATTGGTGTTACTTGATGTGGTGGTGTCAGTTCTTATGTGGAGACCCAGAAGTGACATCACCTCATTGCATGGCACTCTAGAATTTCCCGGAAACCATAGAGTTTCATGGGAATCCTAGAGTGTCACTTGAACACATTGCTGTTGACCCAGAAGTGACATTGAGCAATGCCAGTCCTCCCATTTCCCCTCCCCTCACTGCTACAGTGAACGTCAGTGGGGGATGGGGGAAGTGCCAGAAGGAGTTTACCCACTGAGAGGGGACAAACGGCATCCCTATTGATGTTGCATTTTAATGCACTACCTTGGGGGGGAGTACACTTCCCCCATGTGCAGTCATGGCTATGACATGCAACTGGAATGCAGAATGTGGGTTTACGACTGCAGCCAACAGATCTTGCTTATTTCTTGCAATGCAGTGTGTGAAATGCGACATAAGTTTTTGCTGCATTGTGAGCTTCAGTTATGTGCTCCACGGCTGCGTGCAGGGCCAGCCCGAGGTTTTCTGGCGCCCTAGGCGGGGCTACCTTCTGGCGCCCCTTCCCGCGCGTGCCCAATTACGCAGTTGTCAACCTCCAGGTGGGGCCTGGAGACAAGGAAGTCAACTGTAATGGCAATAGCTTACAAAGCGCATCTCCCCTCCGGGAAGGAGAGGGCTGGAAACTCCCCCCCCCCCAGCATCCCTGCAGATCTCCGCCTTGTGTGGGCTGGGAGAGGACGCAGAGGGGCGACCTGCCCGGGGACCTCCTCTGCCCAGGAAAAGGCGGTGCTTCCACGCTTCTGTGGTGCGTGGTGCATGGATGAAAACCCTGTCTTGGGCAGCAGCGGGGGGGGGGGCGTGGATCCCTGGGGCCCTTCCTCCCCCTCCTCCATCGGAAGTGACTGGTCTGGAAGTGAACAGCGGTGCAGACCCCCCCACGTCCAGACCCTCCCCTCCCCCCCACGCAGACCCTCCCTGAGACCAGCCGCCCCCTAATTCATGCAGCAAATCACCCGCTCAGAACTTTAATGCCGTCGCCCGCTCAGAACTTTCATGCCAGGCATTGCCAGCAGCTCACAAAGTAGGATTATTGCTCACGAGACGCCACAACTTTAAAGGAGCCTTAATCCGCCCCCCGCCCCCCTGACGGCGACGGCACTTTTGTTTTGCCGGCTTGCTGCAGTCAGCCTGATGGAAGCCTCCGGGTGCGTGAGTTGGGGCGGGCAGGACGGGCGCACCGTCGAGCAGCAGGGATTACAGGAATATCAGGCTAAGTATGAAATGAGATCGGGGGTACATTCATTCCCATTGGGCAGGGAGGTTCTCAAAGGCATACCATTGCCTTGTGCTTCTGATGCACTGAAACCTAGCCATAAGAGGGAATGCGAAGAACGTTAACCAGTTTTGTGAAAAACACTTGAAACCTATTTTGAAAATTGTGAACTTTTGTTTTCCTATAATCAAGTTAGTGTTCTGCATGCCTCATCAAAACAACCAAGCAAACAAACAACAAAACAGCAACAGCCACCTAAACCTGGTTACAAAGATCTACTTTTCACCAAGACACTCATAACTGCCCTACTGCCTATCAGCAGTAGCATTTCCTTAGGACCAGCGACAACATCACAAAGGAATGAGAAAGTTCTCAAGTTCCCAACATTCAGGTTGCATGTTCAGTTTATGCATGCAGTGTGTTTGCAACAGTCTTGAGAGGGAGGACGGGAGCTGCTAGGGACGTTCAACTTGGTTAGACTGTTCCGCACAACAGAATTCTGCTCAGAGAATTCTGTTCTGCCCAAAGAATTCTGTGCAAAGCAGCATTCAGCTCGTTCCTAAGGTGTCGGGCAAAACTGGAGCCACTTGAGAGCCTGTGCTTAGAAATGCAGAGATCGAGGCCTGCGCATGACACATGACCCATATCTCCCTGCTATTATCTTAGCAAATGATGACACGCAGTGTGACGGTACCATCTTCACATGAGGCTTCCTTATACTGAACTAGACCACTGGTCCATCAAGATCAATATTGTCTACTCAGACTGGCAGTGGCTCTCCAGGGTCTCAGGCTGAAGTCTTTCACATCACTTCCTACCTGATCCTTCTAACTGGAGGTGCCAGGGATTGAACCTGGGGCCTTCTGCATGCCAAGAAGATGCTGTACCACCGGACCATATCCCCCTCCCTTCAACATGCTCCTATACACCAGGCAAAATTCTGACACAATACCATACATGGTCTTTCACTGGACCTTACTGGGGAGATAAGGGTCAACAACAGCCACATGTCCCCTTTTAACACTTGTGTGGAATCGGTCTTTCATGGAGGTGTGGTCCTTCTCCCATAGGATTCAAAAGGTGGGCAGATCGACAGATTATATTATACCTGTGGGCGGCAAATCCCTCCCGGTCTTCTTGGCAACTCTCAGCAGGCTTTTTTGTGTGCAACTAGTGCTGCAAATTTCTGCTTAATATATTACTCCCCTCAAAAAAGATTGCTGTGAATTTTACTGCTCTTAATCATTCTTTAATTGTAAAGTTATTGTTGTACATTGCTTACGTTGGGCTTTTTCTGGGATAAGCTATTTATAAACACTACAAATAAATGATGACGGGGGGGGGAAACCAGTGTCCACTTTCCACACCTGTGCCCCCAGGAAAATCCAGCACAGGTAAGGAAATGCTCCACACCCCTTGGGATGATCTACATGACAGCTTCACTAAACTTCACAGTGAGGGAAGGAGAATCGCCACACCGAAAAGATTTCCAAGGGAGGTAAAGTAACCAGGTGCCGTGAGTTTTGCCCTGTCCGTTAATGTGAATGGATGTATCACTGGTTTTGTTTTGCTTTTGCATAAAAAGTTTGTTGTGAGTCAGGGATTGTATCTCAATGTTTCTTTAACAGCTGTGGGTGTTTCCTGAACTGGAAAAGCAGGGGTGGGGGGTGTCAGAGAGAGAAACAGCGGCTTCTGGATTGGGAGCTGGCAGAGAGAGTTTCTAGCTGAATTTCACTCAGACTAGAGGTTGTCCTGCCTGCGGAAAGAAGTGCTTATTTGCCTCCACGTATGTTCCGCTTGTATATTTGTAAATAAAGCAATGATGGCGAAAGTCACCCAAAGTCTCCAGGGCTCTTTCATCCAGAGGAAACCCAAACCTGGTAGCTTTGCCCCCGGAACTCCTCACCACTTGGGGAATTGGGAAGCTCACAACACAGACTTGGCCAAAGAGTAGGAAGTCAGAGCTTCCTTTCCAGGGGGACATTCCTCTGGCAAAGAGAGTACTGCAGCCTTACCTTGACTCTGTAAATGTATGAAAGCTGTTCCTATTAAAATAAAGTGATTGGGCGGGGCCAGAAAGATCCTTGAGTGACACGGAGTCAGCCCCTGCCTCTCCGCCTGATGGCTCTCACAGGGTGGCTGTAAAGAACAAAAAGAGAGAATCCCACCCATGTTGCCTTTTGTCTCCTTGGAGGAAAATAAGAGAAATAATGTCATTATGGACCCCTGTTCTCCCTGTGCTCAAAAAATGAAAGCAAGACACGTCGGTCTTTAGTGCTGATTATTACAAAAGCAAATATTTAAGGTCAAACCTTTTGCAAGGAACAGATGTATACCCTCCGGGGTTTTCATCGTGCTCTGAGCCTTTAATAGCTACATAATAGGGCAGAAATTTGATAGCCAAAGCATTCCCTATGACTGCAGGCAAATTCTGTTAAACTCACAATAAGGTCTAAAGAGGCTGTGGTGTCTGCCACTGAGCACCACACAAGCCCTATTGGTGAGACACTTCAGCACTCTGTAACCCTTTCCGTGCTGGGTTAGAACAGCACTGCCTCTTTTTTATCGCATCCTTGGAACTCAAGTGGAAGCAGATCGGGGGTTTCTGATATCCAAATATGATGCCCATAGGGTTGCCAGCTATGGGTGGCAAAACACTTGGGAGGTTTTGTGGGTGGGGGTTGGGGAAGGGAGGGACCGCGGCAGGGTACAAGGCCGTAGAGTCCACCCCCCAAAGCAGCCA